CCATGATGACTTCGTCCACTTCTAGATCGCTGTCAACTACGACATTCTGAGTGCAGCGACTAGATTCAGCCCGTTGACTGGACTCAGGTGGTGATTGAAGTCGTTGAGCCTGTAACTCTCTCATCTGCTGCATGGTCAACTCTATCTCCATTTTCATTTCAGCTATGAGTTCCTCTCGCTGTCGAGCTAAAGCCTCTTGAAGCATTTGAGCCACTAGGTCAGGAGTGATTGTAAAAGACTCCCTTACTTCTATCATGCTAAATATTATATCATTGGAGACGATTGTAGATCAAGTATCCGATAGTTCGTCTTTCGAAGATAGTTCTTCATGCATCCTTGGGTAATCCCTATATCTGATGGCTTCTAGCTGGAGCCGAGACATTTATTGGGCTATCCCTAAATTGATTTTTCTTCCAGAAGAAAAGTTGGGATTAGAGCCATTTGAAGCAATCACAGACTTTCCTTTGTCAACCATATTGATGGTGACTTCAGGGAATTCATCATCCTGGATGATGGATTTTCTCTCATGGAAACATCTTGGCTTAGGCTTCAACGCTTCGGTGGCAAGTTTCTCGAATACCGGGACCCTTTGTGAAATGGTCTTGGGGTAGCTACATTTTGATAATACTTCCCTGATAGATCTCCCGTATGGACAGTGAGAGCTGGTTTCTCAGACACCCTCCTTTTAGGATTTGTTCACATCTCCAGCTTGATGGTGCAGCTTATTGGAGCAATCCATCACTTGTTGGTATGATGCCCCAAGTATAACGTTGTCTTTTTTTGACGGACACGTCTTCTTTTGGGGATGATGAACCTTGTTGACATTCTCAGGATGATTTATTATCGCCTTTGAATGATCCAATGTCACATCAGGAGTCGTACGTTTAGAACCACCCCCTTACAAGCATGGAACCTTAATGGGCTCTTGGGTTTCAATACGAACCCCCAGGCGATCGACGCCAGGAGTCCTCTTGTGGATGGTGCACGAACATGTACAATGAGGTACTCCGGTTTGTTTGGAGATAGCGAGACAACTTTGAGCGGCCTTTGGCTAGATGAGAGTGTTTGTATGACCCCCAGCCTGAGGAACTACTCAGGTTTTGTTCACCAGAGCTTTGCCTCGATCTTTGTGCGAAGGACCAAGATAGTCTGCCATCGTAACCTTGAATTTTGATAGGTCGTACGAGATCAACTGGAATAGGAACGAGGCTTGACAAAAGTGGAGAAACGACTACGGGAGGCGAATTAAGCGCGAGACACCTTGAGGTGACTTGGGCATGGAGAGAGAGTCACCCTAAAGTGGCTCGGGACTTCTAATCTTTTCGGCCGCTATTAGAGTTATTTTTTATGCTGTTTTAGACTTTAGCCTCCAGACTTAGCGTGGTCTTGGTGGTTTTTTGGCCACCTCTTCCTTCTTCATGCCTTGTGCCTTTTGCAAAAGTGTGCGAGCATGTGCGGCACGTGCACGATGCCTTTGGATATGCTCCTTCTGGGTTGAACGATTTCTTTTGACAAGGATCCATTCTTCCGTCGATGGCTTGGAGGATTTGTCAGCCACATGTTGTTGAAGTGATTCGATTGCTTGACGTCTCCTGGACTCTAAGTTTGCGTAATATCGAACTCCATCGACTTATTCCAATGCTTTTGCGATTTGACGAGCTAAGCATTGGCGTCGCCTCTGACGAGCTCTTTTCGTCATATTTGGTGTACTTTGATTGGATAACTTCTTGATTGGAGAGGAGTCACTTGTAGCCTTCATCAGTGAGTACACGTCCTTCAAAGACAATATATTTCCATATTTGTAGGAAGAGGAGGATTTTGATGAAGATGAGGAGAAATATTTCTCGAACTTGGCTTTGTCAAACTCGTACTCGACCGCTGAAACAACTAGGATCTTGATCTTCGGTTACGACATGACAATCTCGACAACGAGACTGCTGACTTCTACTGTAGTCGCCAACGTGTTTGTGACGAAAGTTGGTTTATTTGTCGAATCCATTACACATTTATCGATTATAGATTCAAAGTAAAATTAGTCTTTTTATAAGACTTTATTACACAATGAAAATAAAAAGGTTACAACTCTTTTCAAACACACGTAGAGAATATTTATCACCCGCTGCTTGTGTGGGATCTTTGCATGTGTCGGGGTTTATCCGTGGACCACCGTGGATTAGATCCGGTTGATCGGAATAAAAGATTAATGCTCTTGCTTCACAAAGAAAACAACCACTAAAGTAAATAATCTCAACAAAGTAAGATTACTACTCTTCTTGATATCAAAATAAAGTCTGATCTCAAGGAAGGATAAAACTTTAGATCTCGCTAGCCTCTCTCAAATTCATCAGAACCTCGCCCTAACTCCTCTAAAATTCATGGATCCCTTTAGATCTACCTTTATAAGGGTTCTAGGGGTGTATTTATAGATTCTAAATGTCGTGTTTGTAGATATGATCGAAGAACAATCGTTATTATCCGTTTAGGTGGGTTTTCGATTGTGGAACAGCTTCTACACGTTTAAGGATAACCTTACATGTTTATGGATGACCCTAAGGAGTTCTAGAAGCTAATATTATTAGAAAACACATCAGGAGATGACCTAGGTGTGAGTCACTTCGAAATGACTCGGAATTTCCGAGTCACTTTGAGGTGACTCAGATTTTCTGAGATAGTTTATACTATCTTTGGTATTTTAGCTTTAATTCTCTTATCCGATCTCAGAATGAGGTGATTTAAGTTATGTTGGAAAATTAGCAAAGAGACCTACAGCTTTTATTTTTTAAGATTTTTCAAATTCGAAGCAAATCATGGTCGGAATTTTAATTATATCAAACCATGCATTCTAAATCTCGTTGTTGCTTCCCCGCTTTGTATTTTCACGCGTTTCTTCCACTTTGTGCACTTCTTTACCTCGCATATTCCTTTGCTTCCTTTTAGCATCGAATGATCCTCTTTAACTTAGATAATCATTTTTAACTTGAATAATAATATTCATCATCTTTTTTTCATCTCGAGCTGTGTGTGGGAACCCATAGGCAATTTTTGACGCCTACAAAGTATTATGAAGAACAATGAATAAAGCGTGATGTTAATTTTCCCTGCAGAAGAACAATGAATAAAGCGTGATGTTAATTTTCCCTGCATACCTCAACATAAATGGCGTTGTTAAAAAGAAAAATAGGACCATACTTGACATGGTGAGAAGCATGCTAAAGGCCAAGGTATGCCAAATTATTTTTGGGGTAAAGCTGTCTCGTGCACTATTTATTTGTTGAATAGGTTACTAACAAAGAGCGTTGATAATCTCACTCCTAAAGAGGTGTAGACTAGTTATAAGCCAAGTGTAAGACATCTCAAAGTGTTTGGCTCCATTGCTTATGCTCATGTTCTAGCATAAAGATGAAAGAAACTTGATGACAAAGGCGTGAAGATAATTGTTATTGGCTACAAGTCCGGAGGCTTCAAACTCTACAATCTTGCTACAAAAAAGGTGACAATAAGCATAAATTTTATGTTTGTTGAAGAAGAAGCTTGGACTTGGGATCTAGAAGCATAAAACAATTCATGGCGTACTCTATTTGATATTCTTGAAGAAGGTGTCCCTGTTGCAACTGAAGAAGCACTACTGTCCAATGCTCCTGAAGCTCCAACCACACAAGTTTCATTAGAAGTTGAAAGACCAAGAAGAAATCGCCAAGCATTAGTTCTTTTGAGGATTATGAAGTAACTCCAGATTATGATATTGATGCAGATGGAAATATGTTGCACTTTGCAATGTTTACAGATTATGAGCTAGTTATGTTTGAAGAGGCTATTCAAGATCCTAAGTGGATAAATGCAATAAAAGAAGAGAAAAAGACGATCGAGAAGAACAACACATGGGAGCTTACTAATATCCCACAAGTAGGGTTGTGCATGGTTCTTTCCAAACCGAAAAAACCGACCAAACCGACCCGAAATTAGCACTTCGGGTCGCTTTTGTTTGTAGGTTGGTTCGGGTCGGGTTAAAAACATTTCAACCCGAACCGCCCGAACCGACCGCAACTAATAACCTTTTAATTTTTAATCCGTACCCATTAGAAACCCGAACCGTTCCCTCAAATCTCAACCTAAACCCTAAATCCAAGCCCCACTTACTCCGCCTAGCCGACTTGCTCTCTGGTTCCTACTCTCTTGTTCGCCTCAACGAGTTCCCGCGCTCACACTTTCGTCGTCAGTCCGCGTTAGCCGCACTTCCTCTCTCTCACTCTCTGTCCGCACTCCGTAGTTTCTCACTCGGCACTCCGCCGCCAGCCGCACTTCCTCTCTTTCACTCTTTGTCTACTCTTGGAATTTGAGTCTGTGATAGCATGATTAATTTAGACTAATGATCATTGATCTCATGCAAATTATTTAGTTTTTTATGATATTGTTTGTCATTTTTTTCATAATTCTTGTGCAATGGAAAAGCCTTCATGTGATATGAGTGCACTAAAGTTCATAAGTTGTCATTTATCAATGTGATGGTGGAGTGAAAATGGAAATGCCTATGTTTATACTGATTTCTGAGTACTAAGCAGTAGGTGCTTGCTGTGGCATTTGTGTTTATATATCAAAATGCATAAGTTGTCATTATTCCCAGTGCAAACTAACAAACCGCACCAACCCGAACCTAAGTTGAGTCACCTGGTGCGGTTCGGTTCTTAGCAGAATGTCGGTGCAATTCGGTTGGCATTATTTAGGTCAAAAACCAAACAGCCGACCGTATGCTTAGGTCTATCCGCAAGGACATAAAGCAATCGATGTGAAGTGGGTTTTTAAGACAAAGATTAAGGCGAACAACGAGGTTGAGCGGCATAAAGCAAGATTGGTGGCGAAAGGCTATGAGCAAAGGCCTAGTTATGATTACCAATAGATATTTTCTCATGTTGCTAGGGTTGAAACTATTAGACTAATAATTGCCTTGGCTACACAGAAACATTGGAATATTCATCAGATAGAAGTGAAGTCAGCTTTTCTTAATGGGTTACTTGAAGAAGAAGTTTTTTGTGAGGCAACCACCTGGATTTGTCAAGAAAGGGTGTGAGTATAAAGTATACAAGTTAAAGAAAGCCTTGTACGGGCTGAAGCAAGCGCCGTGAGTATGAAACAAAAGAATTAATTCTTTTTTTCAAGAAAGTGGATTTCAGAAGTGCCCCTCCGAACATGCCTTATATATGAAGACAAACAACTCTGGTGATAGTATCATGCCTTTATGTGGATGACTTGATTTTTACGAGCAATAACATTAGTATGATTGAAGATTTTAAGAAGTCGATGATGCATGAATTTGAGATGACAGATCTTGACTTGATGTCTTATTTTCTTAGTACTGAAGTGATTCAAGGGGATGATGGGGTTTTCATATGTCAAAAGAGGTATTGCACAGAGTTATTGAAAAGGTTTTAGATGTTTGGTTGTAATACTGTTAGAATTCCTGCGGAGGTTGGTACTAACTTATCTCGAGAAGTTGATGGTGCACAAGTTGATCCTGCTTATTTTAAGCAACTTGTTGAGAGTTTAAGATATCTCCCATGTACAAGGCTAGATGTAGCCTATGGAGTTGGTCTAATCAGTAGATATTTGGAGGCCCCTCGCCAATCCCATCTACAAGTTGCAAAGAGAATTATGCGGTGCCTAAAGGAGACTTATGATCATGGTTTATTTTATTATTCATCTAACAATTGTGATGTTGTAGGCTATTCTGATAGTGATTGGAGTGGAGATCATGATGATTGCAAAAGTACTTCTGGCTATATTTTCAATTTTGTCTCCACTGCATTTTCATGATTGTCAAAAAAGCAGTACATTGTTGCACTCTCAACTTGTAAAGCAGAGTATGTAGCAGCAGCGTGGAGTGCTTGTCAAGCAATTTGGTTGCGTAATGTGCTAAGTCAAGTTCAATATTCAAGTTGAAAGTCCTACAAAGATTTATATTGACAACAAGTCCGTAATTGATTTGACAAAGAATCCAGTCATTCATGCAAGGAGCAAGCAAATTCATACTCGTTACCACTTTCTATGAGACAATGTTGAGAAGAACGAGATCATGTTGCTTTATTGCAAGTCTGAAGATCAAGTTGCGGACATCCTCATGAAGCCCATGAAGTTTGAAGTATTTATCAAGTTGAAGCACGCGATGAGATTGAAGACTTTACAGAATTTGGATTAAGGGGGAATGTTGAAACTATTCCAAATTCAATCAAGTTATCATTAGTAGTTAGTTCTATCCATAAGAGTTTACTTCTACTATGAATTGGTTCATATATCTTATCTATAGTATATCGTTGTTTTATCTTTTAGAAGTTCATGTCATATTAGAATTTGTAATATTAGATTGCTAAACTATTTAAGCAGTTAATGTAGCAAGTTATTGTAGCTAAATTAATTAAGCCTGAGATTAACGAAATCTTGTTTGCTTCTCCCTACAAGCCTTCCTATACTTTATATGTTTATTTGAGTTTTAATAGTGTTTTTGTCCAACAAATTTGCATTCCAGAGCTTATCGATTTGAATATCTATTCATGGTTGTTATTCAAAAACTTACGAATAACTCTTAACTGCTGAGGGACACGTGAAGACAACAGGAATAGAGATAACGTCAACCCTTTATGATTGTTGCAAGACAAATTATTTGGTAGAAGAATTAGATAGAGGACAAATCGAGAGATTCACCTCAATTGATTGATTCTGATGATTGTCCCGCCGCATGAAAAATTGCGGCTTCGACTACCTACCTGAATAAAATTGATTCTGATGATTGTCCAGCTGCAAGAAAATTTCAGAACTTAGAAATTAGAACACCAGTAAATAAAATCTATAGCAAACTGTCTACTGTCTTTAAAGAGAATATTCAGCTTCAAGCCTTCAACACATATACCTCAATGTTATAATATTTCTCTGATTCTTCTGTATGTTCCCAAAGCTGCAAATTGCAATATCACAGACAAACAAGGACTAAGCTGATGAAATAGAGCTAACTCGTCTAATATATAAGCTTAAGATCTTAACAGCACTTAGTGAAGAAACAGCTACGTGTATGAGAATACTAATAGCTGCCTCGGGCAGGTAGATAGAAGGATGATACCAGTACTTTTGTTTTCCATGCACAACACACACGCACACGCACTCACTTTTTATCATATCCCTCCTTGACAAAAAAGAGAAATTGGTACTGGAGGTGCAAAATGCCATGTGTAAAAAAATCTATCACGTGGCCATCCATTCTATGAGAAACTGACACGTGTACACATAATTTTGTCTTTACTTAAGAATACCTATCAGATTAAAACACCAATAACTAGAAAATCTCCACTTTCTAATCTTATCTTCATCTAGCAAATATAATCAAATTAAAGTTATCCATAATTAAAAAATCAAAAATTCCAAATAGGTCAGTGAAAAATCAGAAAATCGCAAAAAATCCCTTAAGTGGCAAAGGCGACTCAGTTAATGGAAGCGTTGGACCAACTTAGGGATCCACAGTGCGAGCTCGTCCTTTTGAGGGCGTGTGCGGGTTTGTCCAAGTTATATTTTGCCTTGAGGACTTGCCCGCCACAGCTCTTTGCTCAGGCGGCGACTAAGTTTGATATTGCGCTTCGAAGGTCAGTCGAGAGTATTGTCACATCTGAAGGCCCAGGCTTTGGGGATCTACAATAAAGGCTGGCCTCTTTACCTATCAAGGCGGGCGGGTTGGGGGTCTATGCAGCGGCCGATGCCATACAGTTTTCTTTTGTGGCCTCTCGGATTCACTCCATCGAGCTCCAAGACCACATTTTAAGAGGTTGTGGTGAGGTTTCTTTAGGTGGGCATTTTACTTCCGCCCGGGCCTTTCTTCAAGCCAAGCTACCTGAGGTTGACCTTCTTCAAATCACCACTAAAGGGTCTGTCCTCCCAAAACCAATGCATTACTTGGCAGACATCTTTTATGGTGGTGTTTGTAGAGATCTATCGACGGGGTTTGACCTTTCAGAGAGGCAGGTTGCGATTGTTGAGTGTCTGCGGGCAAAGCACGCCCAAGATTTCTTGTTGGCCACGCCTATTGAGGGATTGGGGCAGCGTATGACTCCGGGGGAGTACCAAGCCATCCTCAGGTACAGGTTATTGGTTTCTTTGTTCGTGGAGGGGGACAGTGTGCCCAGTTTGTCGTAGAACGCAGATGGATACTTTTGGAGAGCATGCCATCCACTGTCAGAAGCAGCCGGGGTTCAAGTACATGCACGACTTTGTCAGAGATGTCTTGTATGATATCCTCCAAAGAGCAGGGATCTCATCAAAGAAGGAAGTGCCGGTTAACTTCCTTACTCCTCCTGGAGAGGCTAGATCTACTCTAAGGCCGGCAGACGTTCTTGTCTACAATTGGAGCGGGGGGAAGCACGCTTGTGTTGATCTCACAGGGGTGTCTCCGTTGGTGGGGTTTGGTAATGGAGAGTTCAAGGTTGGGTATGCAGCAGATAGAGCAGCAGAAGCAAAGGTGGACAAACATGATCAAGCTTGCAAGGACAACCACCACAACTTCATCCCGTTCGCTTTCGATACGTTTGGTTTCCTTGTAGCTGATGCGGCGGAGTTCCTCAGGAGGGTACAAAAATTCATGAATAAGAATGTGGCGATAGCAGGGTCCGCTGAGTACGTGTTTCGTAGGTTGGGTTTTACAATTCAGAAAGGATTGGCAGCGCAGCTTGTTGCCCGCTTATCATTATCACATGTGTAATATTTATTTCCTAATTAAATGGTTAATTCTGAAGAAAAAAAATCTCCTAAAAAATACAAATGGCACCATAAAAGTAAGAAAATTATAAACCATGCCTTTTAAAATCCAAAAGTCACAAACAATCCCTAGAAAATATGTGATTTACATATAGTCTTCTAAAAAGTTTTAAAATTAAAATAGCCCCCTAATATATGAACAACCCGGCCCCTAAGAATTTTACAATGAGCAACCCCTTGAAAGTTTCAAAACTTACAAATATTCCCTTAAAAATTTTACAAATAGCCCTTCAAAAATTTTGCAACTATCCCCACGAAAGCTATGAAAATAACAAACAAACTGTTGAAAACTCCTAAATATTACTAATAACACTTTAAAACTTTATAAACAACCCGTTGAAAATTTCAAAAAATACAAACACCTTTCAAAAGAATTCAAAAATTATAAATAACCTAATGAAAGTTGCAACCAACTTTTTAAGATTTAAAAATTATAAATAAACACCTTAAATAACAAATATTACAAATAACACCTTAAATTTTAGAATATTATAAACTGGCACCTTTAAAATCCAAAGATTGCAAACAATTCCTAGGAAATTTAATAACTACAAACAATCCTCTAAAAAGTTTAAAAATTACAAGTAGCTCCCCAATATTTTACAAACGATCCCTAAAAATTTTTAGTCACCTGACAGTTTCAAAAATTACAAACTTCCCATAGAAAATTTTACCAATAGCCCTTGGACAATTTTACAACTAACCTCATGAAAATTGTGAAAATAATAAGTACTTCGCTGAAAATTTAGATACACTACAAAGAACTCCTTTAAAACTTCACAAACAACCTCTTGAAGGTTTCAAAACTACAAACAACCCCTGAAGAATTTTAAATAATCTCCTAAAAATTTTGAAAATTACAATTAACCCAATGGAAGTTTTATAAAACAGCATCCTGAAAACTTTAAACTACCTCCTTTGAAAGTTTCAAAAATTATAAACCATCGCCAAAACTTTGGAAAACTACAAGCAGCCCCCCAATAGCTTCAAAAACCACAAACATTCCTCTGAAAATTTTAAAATTCATAAAACCACCCCAAAAGATTCTAAAAATTACAAATGGCAGTCTAATGTAACATATTATATTATGATATTATAAAATATTATTGGTGTGAGGAAGACAAAAGGTAGTCGGGTATAATGGTCCTAGATGTCACACGTCCTTAATACTAGAGGATGGTACTAGAACTTTTAACTACCCAATTTGGAGTTTAGAGGGAAATCCTATTCCCATCTGTATCTTAATCCCGAATAAACCAAACATGAGACATGGTTGAAATTTCGTGACATTGAAGTCACACTCCTTTTCCCACAAAGAACCAAACACCGCCTATGTTCTTTGACAATTATACCTCTTTCTACTAAATATCAAATATCATCATATAATCCTATTTTTAGTTTTTAAAAATCATAAATTGTTATTTACATTTGTAAAGGAGGGATTGTTGGTGAAGCTATTTAATTTTAAATTTCAAAGTTAAAAAGTTAATTTATCTAAGAAAAAATCTACCACTCAAACTATTTACTTTAATTGATAAAAAAAGTCTCTATTTTTTTCTTCTCATAACATGGCAAAAAGAAGTGCTCATCGTCTCTTTCTTAATAAGCATTTGATATATTAGTTAATAGATAATCTGTAAGTTATAATCCATAAAGAAATATAATCAATCACCTCTCTTGTTATACTAGGGTAGGTTAACATATTCGAAGAGCGCATAAACAGAAAATATATGTATACCAAACAAACCAAAATAATATGTACGACAAGTTCATAATACTTGTGACATGAATGAGGATGCTGTTAGCAGTGGCGTAGCCAGGAATTTTTTCTGCCCTGGGCGAAAAAATAACAAAGCAAAAAAAATTTAAACAAACTAAGAGCGCTTTGATTAGATATTGATAAAAAAGACAAAGTTGCATTATACACATTCAAAATATGAGATACACCAGAAACATAAGTATCTATTTAAGTCGAGCTCTACGAGTATGTCGTGAATCAAACTCCTCTACCATTTCTTCTG